ACGGTCAGATATACGTGCCAACTCCATGAAATTGACTCTTCTTGAAGAAGAGGCTTTAAAAGATTGGATTCTCTCGCTTGTAAAGCGTGGGCTTCATCCTCGGCCGGCATACGTACGGAATATGGCAACAATCCTTCTCCAAAAACGAAACTCGAATTCCACAGTCTCTGTGGGTGAAAAATGGGTATACAATTTTGTCAAACGTACTTCGGCTTTGAAGACTCAGTTCTCTCGAAGATATCATATCCAACGTGCAAATGCGAAGATCCGAAGCTTTTAACTGAATGGTTTGACCGTGTTAAAGCCGCAAAGAAGGAGTATGGCATTCTTGATCAAGATATCTGGAATTTTGATGAGACCGGTTTCGCCATGGGAATGGTAGCTACAGCCCGTGTAGTTACACGGTCTGACTGCGTGGGCAAGCCGTTTCTCGTACAGCCAGGAAATCGAGAATGGGTGACTTCAATTGAGTGTATCAACGCCGCCGGTGTGGTGTTGTCACCGTACTTGATTCTTAAGGGAAAAGTTCATATAGAGGCATGGTACCAAGGCCTTCTTCCCTCTGATTGGCGTATCAATCTATCACCAAATGGTTGGACTTCCAATGATATCGGTTTACATTGGCTTCGTGAACACTTTATTCCTTCCATCAAAAACCGGCGGACAGGGCGATATAGCCTCTTGATTCTTGACGGACACGACTCCCATTTGACTGCGGAATTTGACAATATATGTAGTCAAAATGGCGTTATTCCTATCTGTATGCCTCCGCATTCTTCACACCTTTGTCAACCGCTTGATGTTGCTTGCTTTGCACCGTTGAAACGAGCGTACGGAAGCTTGGTGGAACGGTTAATCCGTCAGGGTATCCACCATATTGATAAGGTTGATTTCTTGGATACGTACCCAGAAGCACGTTCTCTTGCCTTTAAAGAAGCGACTATACGCAACGCCTTCAAAGCTTCAGGATTGGTTCCATTGCAGCCGGACGAGGTTCTCAGTAAACTGGTTATACAGCTCCGTGAGCCTACTCCAACCGGCAGTATTACCACTACATCAACAGTGCCAAAAACGCCCAAAAACACGAAGCAATTAAGGAGGCATGAAACTACAATTGAAAGGCTTCTTCGTGAACGTACAATCAGCCCGTCCTCGCAGATGAAAGCAGCGTTATCCTATATTGTAAAAGGATGCGAAATCGCCATCAACCGGGCTGCTTTACTTGAGCAGGAAGTTGATGAATTACGAACTGGTTTGGAGAGGCAAAACGCTAAGAATAAGAGGTCTCATCGCCAAATGGCTGGTCTAAATGGTCTTACCGTTGACGAGGCCAAAAACGCGTTTAAAAGAGTTTGTGAAGCTGATCAAGTTGGTGGAAGTCAGTTTGAAGAATCAGCTGCCGGCGAGGAACAACCTCGCCGCCGGGCACCACCTCGCTGCAGCGATTGTAATACAATTGGGCATATAAGAACAAGGTGTCCAACACGTCAAAACACCAATTAAACATGTTATTTTGTTGGTATATGGTGTATATAAGCTTCAACTTTTCATGGAAGGCTGTTAGGGTGGGCGTGGGTGCCGGTTCGCTTACACCGCCGGTTCGCT